TCTTTCCCTCCATGTTCGTTTCCACACAGTTTTGTCAATCATTGTTACTATCAACTTTTTTTTCTCCAGCTGTTTAAACCAAAAACTTGAAGTCATTTTTACTCTTCTCTCATATTCTATATCCAATCAAGGAACAACACTTTTGGGCTTTATCTTAAAAATATGCAGAAAAGTCAAACCATTACCATGGTTTGACTAATTCTACCATTACCACTGTGGCTCAATCTACCAATATTTTATTTTGATTACTGTAACAGCCTCTTTCCTGGTCTCCCTGCCTTATTCTTCTAACAGTCTGTTCTCAACACAGAAGCCATTATGGTCCTATTAAGATGGAAATTTAATTTTCTCATTCATCTTTTCAAAACTCTCCAGAAGTATTCTATCTCGGAGTAAAAATCTTAATCCTAAAAATGGTCTAAGCAATTGATCTACATTATTTGTTCCCCTATGTCTATAATTTCATCTTCTGCTGTTCTTCCATTCACTCATTCTGTTTCAGACACGATGGCCTCCTTGCTGTTTGTGGACTATACCAGGTACATTCTTACTTCAGATGTACTTCAGGTTGATGTATTTTCTTTATGGAATATTATTCCTTCCTTTCTTTCTTTCAACTCTTTTAACAAATGCCACCTTCTCAAAGAAACCTTCTGTGTACAATCATTAAAGTAACACCACTGTCATTCTCTGCTCCCCCTTCTCTTTTTCTGCTTTATTGTTCTCCATAATACTTATCTAACATAAAACATAATTTTTTTAGGCTATCTATTTGTTTTCCCACACTAGAATATAAACTCTATCAGGGAAGAGGGTTTTGTATATTTTCTTCATCTAGAACAGTGCTTAGAACATAGTAGTTCTCAAGTATTTGTTAAATGAATCAATGAATAAACAGGATGGTCTAAAGAAACATAAATTTTCTAAATCATCATATTTAATGGACTTCTAATGTTAAAGCTTCACTTGTTTGACTTAAAAATCTATAAAGTGTTGAATACTAATAATAATAGTAATGGGAAAAATAAAGTTTTCACATTTTCTTATTAGAAGTTATTGGAGCTTTAGTACCCATCATTTATATTCATTTTTTTAACTTTTATATTGGAGTATAGTTGATTAACAAGGTTGTGTTAGTTTCACTTGACAATGAGAGTAAGTGACCACACACTGAATGCAATGGAGAATGGGTATGGATTTGAATGAAGAGCTGAAATTTAAAAAGAAGATTTTGGAGGCATATTGGACTTCACTATTTGGCTTTTATTGATTTCATTATCTTTTCTCCTCCTCACTTCTTTTCTTCAGTTCTTCCATAAACTTTCCTAATGGTAAAGATTATGCTACTTTATCAAGCAATGGAGAGGAATGAGGGCCATTTCTCTGGTGGCAGAGATTCTATATATTCCCTCATATAAGTGCAGACATTTCTGGGAAGTTGCTGGCAGATGTGTCTAGACTCTTCTCAGTGTTATAATACATGCATTTAATTTATTGATTATATGAAATAATTTCTTTTTTTGCTGACAAAACCCAATGATGTAACCAAAAGTTCAGAATTTAAAAAATAAAATGAGTGTAGCAAGAGGGGACTTTTCCCATATCCCTTTCTGTAAAAACGTCTACTATCAATGACCATCATTGTTGTTGAAAGTTTTTTTCTTTTAATTAATTTATTTTATTTATTTATTTTTGGCTGCATTGGATATTTGTTGCTGTGTGTGGGCTTTCTCTAGTTGCGGCGAGCGGGGCCTACTCTTCCTTGTGGTGCACAGGCTTCTCATTGCGGTGCCCTCTCCTGTTGAGAGCACAGGATCTAGGTGCACAGGCCCCAGTAGTTGTGGCATGCAGGCTCAGTAGTTGTGGCTCACAGACTCTAGAGCTCAGGATCAGCAGTTGTGGCACATGGGCCTAGCTACTCCACGGCATGTGGGATCTTCCCGGGCCAGAGCTCGAACCCGTGTGCCCTGCATTGGCAGGCGGATTCCTAACCACTGCACAACCAGGGAAGCCCTCTTCTTGAAAGTTTGACCAAAATTACTGGCAGAAATTTTCACCTCTTAGTAGAACACATACAGCCCATCAATCAATTTCAGAAATTTTAATAACTTGAGACAATGCTTTTGAAAGACTACTCCCTACTGGCATAATACCTTGCTCAATTAAGCTAGTCAGCCACAACTAACATCTAACAGAGTGCAACAAATAGAGTTCTAGTTTATTAAATAAAGTAACACTATCCAAAATGCCTGAAAAGCAACTTACACATCCATTTAGTCTGGCTTTTACTAAATTATGTCTTTGGAGAATTAATTAAGATAAAGATAAATTATCTATTAGAAGTCCTAATTTCAAATGCTTCTCTAGCTGAATTTAGTTTATATGCTGTAGAATTAAAATTATAATATATACGGTTTACTTTGAAACGTTTATGTGAAAGCCATATCATGAATAATTAAAATTCTTATTACTGTTTCCCATAAGCAGCCACGTTCTTCACAGCGTTGTTTAGTTGCAATGTCTGCATCTGGATAACAAGTAAACTTTTCAGCTTCCAAGAAAGTTTGATCCCATTGAACAGTAAAGTTTCTTCCAAGGTTAAACATGAGATTGTAAATTAGTAGATTCTTTGAAGAGAAAGAAAACATTAAAATATTTCTGACCACTGGACAATTTAAAAATACTTAACATTTTTAAAATGCAGCAACCCCACAGCAATTCTTCAAATCAAATCATTAATAATTTTAATATAATACTAAAAGAAAGAATAGAAAAGAAAAAACATGGCATGCCACTGAAATAGCTAGAATCTCAAGACAGTTCTCAAAACTATGAGAAATTATAGAATACTGATGATGGCATTATGCTTGGGGCATACCAGGTATGAAATAAATAGTAGTCCCCTCAATGAAGAAAAAGGGAAGAAAATGTTGACCATTTTGATTGATTTGGAGGCTCCCAGAGTCAGAGGAGGGGAATATTATTTATTTATTTTCCTAATTTTATCCATTGCTTATAATATTTGAGGGACAACTTAGAGAGGAGATAACATGGTATTATGCAAAAAGAAAAAAAAGTGAAAGGATAGTGTCCAAGCACAGGAGAATTAGAAAGATGTATCTATAAGTGTCTTTGTAAATCTTTACATTAGCATAAAAATAGAAACAGATAAAAACTGGAATTGTAAAAACATATAATAAAACAATTTTGTATTATGTCCACTTGATAATCTTTGTTAGAGTCATAAAGTTCTCAGTAAGCCTGTATTATTTATTGATTAGTTCTTATAGTCCTAGGAATATATACATTATAGTGTATTTGTTAATAAAAAATAATTAACCAATACATATTTTTATGGAAATTCCTAAGTGAAAAACTGGGCCAGAGGACTTAGAAGCTAGACAAAAATACTCTAAGAAAATGTCTTACGTCTCAATTTAGAATTTATGCTAACATTACTAATATTTAGGAATATAGGAATGGTAGAAAAGTAAATGCCAATAAAAATCACTTCCATGTTTTAAATTATTTTTGTCTAACGTTTTAAATAATTAATTTTTTACCTGAAGCAACATTATGATTAAATATGACATTTTACATATGAGGAAGCTGAGATAATGAGAGATTAATTTATTGTGTTTAAATGCACAGACTGCAGGGCTGCAATTTGAGCCCAATTCTGTTACTCCTTTTCCCTCCCTGGTACACTTGTTAAACAAGGCAAGAACGAGGATAAGAAAGGGACTACTAGAAGAGGAGACTGTAAACAAAAATTTGAAAGAGAAGTACAAGATATATTAAGGACAAAGGGAGTTCATGAAAGGAGAAGTAGAGAGAATTGAAGAAATGGATTCAATCATTACCTTAAGAAGTTTTAAATGAGAAGGTAAAACTTTTAGATTCTTTATCGTATGCAGTAGGTAAGAGTTCAGGGTAGGAGAATGGTATCAAAAAAAAATATTAGAAAGGCATACATAAGTGATATCTAAGATAAAATTAAATAGAGAGGGAGAAGTAGAATCAATTCACCTTAAAGTTGATATCTCAACATAAATTGAGATAACCTAAAATGGAATATTGCCAGCAAAAGGGAAAAAAAAGAAATATATGTAATGAAGAAAAAAAAATCACAAAACCAAGAGCCTGAATCATTATATAATGTTAAATATGAGAGTATGTGATAACTAAAATATTTTAAGATTGTATTTACCTGGTTGGAAGTATCATAAGTGAAATTGTAGTGAGCTCTCATTGGTTGATTATCTTCCATCACTGAAACTTTTGTAACAGTGTCTATCAACCCAAGGATTTTTATAGTCTCAAATGCTAAAGTGGTTCCTTCCTGGTATGACGAATGTGTGCATATAACATCTAATTTGTTCTGAAAAATGTATATAATATTATATATCAAGTAGAAGGTCATTGGATACAAATTAGAAATAACAAGTGTATTTATACTGATTAAATCTTACAGTTCTAAAAATGTATAAACTATAGTTTTTACTAAATAAAAATAATTAACCAATACATATTTTAATGAAAATTGCTAAGTGAAAAACTCTAGGCAAGAGAGCTTAGGAATTAGCGAAAATTCTAAGAAAATGTTCTACATCTCACATAATTTAGAATTTAATTATGCTGATAATACTAATAATTTAGTATTATTTAGTATTAAATTATAGCATTATTTGGTATTTAATAATATAGTATAATAAGAAAAGAACCAATCATCTATCCCTCCATTCCCAACAGCTCTTCACATCAAAGTACGCTATATAAATACACTTATTAGTAACTCTTTAAAATTGTTTTTTATACATGCTCTAAAATTATTTTCAGAGATAAATTATGCATGACGCAAATCATGTATATTCCTTCTCATTCTCTTCATTGGTGAAGAATAAATTATCTTTGGCAAAAAAGAATATATGAAGAAATCTAACTTCTACAAAAAGGATTGCTACTAATTATTCAAAATTTAATCTTGTGCATAGCTTTTTCATTTTCACCCCAAATCCATGACAGCCACTGCTGTGATTGGTATATTAAAACATTTTCAAATATGTTGAGATTATTTTCCCAGGACATATTGCTTAAACCAGACATAGTGCTACAAGAAGTCTGAAGATTTCTGTGCATCAATTTCATCAACAGAAACTCATCTATTACATTGAAATATAAAAATTTAAGGTAATTCATATATAATTTAATAATTTAAATTGAACAATTTATTTTGTTTCTTTCCACTGATTTCTGGAGAGAAATGTAACATCATTCCACGAAAAGGCACAATCTAGACATTAACAAGGTATTATATTTAGCTATGTGTTCAAGGAGAATGCTTACATTAGAAACTGAAAATGTATATAAAATGTAGTTGTCATTTTGGATGGCATCTGAAATGGTGAAAAAAAAAGTTATCAGATCAAAATGTAATGTTAAATTCTGTTTTATTTTTACAGTTCGACAACACAGGGAATTTTTTAAAAATAGATATTATTTATTAATGAAGCAAATTAAACAGATTATTCTTTTAAATTAAGGTTCTTAATTATCTTTAAATGAAACTATTTTGGTAGTTTATTTTTCCAGGAAGTAAAGGTAGTGAATGCATCTTTGCCCAGTTTGATTTTTCAAGGACTGCTAAAATATTTCTGGAAATTCAGAGAGCACAAAACTTGTAGTAAAATATATATAATTATAACTATTTTTTGAATGATATTTTATCTCTTTTTAGTAAACTGTGTAACATTCAGTTTATTTTGGGAAGCCATGGCACACCACAATTTTGGTTCGCATCTTTCAGTGTGTTTTTTCATTATTTGAAGAATGAGTGAATGTGGAGACATTAAAGTTTCAAATAAACCTTAATGAGAAAAATTGAAGAAAACAATTATTTTCTGCATCATATATGTAACAATGTAACATAACTTTTTATCAACATGTTTCTTTAACAGGGAACTAAAGATTATAACTAAAATAATTAGGAAGAAAGAGTGGAAAATATAAAGGGAATACTAGGATTTATATACAATACTTTGAATAACATTAATTTACTTAAAATTTTAATCCTAGGAAATAAAAATAGAATCAGAACCCAAACTGAAGGTCATTTTATTGTCTTGTGTTTGATTGATTATTCAGAAAATTTTGATTTTAACTTTTTAACACACTTCAGTATATAGATATCATATTAAATGTCTGATTAAATCATAACTCCATATTTTTAACCATTTTATATGAGTAAATTATCAATATAATTTTCAAGTAGAAAAAGGAATGTGGAAATATTTATATAATCTGAGAAATGAGAATAACCTTAAAATCAGGTTCCACATGCTACCAATAGAGGTATTATCTCAACAACATTTTTACCTGATGATTACGAAACAATTTACTTCTGCTGCAATCCTCTCTTACAGAATTTCTATGTAGTAAATACTTTGAATCTATTCTCAGGGCAGAGCTAGTGTGTTTGACTCTAAGGTATCTGAGAAAGAGGGAGAAGGCTGGTGTGCTGGCGTAGAATGAGAAATGGAGAATGGTAGGGCACAGTGTGTGCGCCTGCGTGTGTGTGCATGTGTGTGTAAAATGTGCAGGACATAGTGAATACTCTAGGTCTTGGTAAAGACTGTGGCTCTTAATTGAGTAAAATGGAGAATTGATAGAGGGTTTTGAGCAGAAGTGTAATAATTTGAATCATCTTTTAAAGGGATCACTCTATCTGCTGGTTGGTAAATAGAATGTAAAAAGGGGGGATTGACAAGAGCTATTGACCTAGAGACCAGTTAGGGAGCTATTGCAGTAATTAAAATGAAAAGTAGTGATGATAATGGTGGAGTTTATGAGAGAACGAAGATCAAGGTGGAACCAAGAGAAATTCCTAGGTTGTGACAGACAAGAGTGAACTCTAAAGTTTTTGGCATCTTGCAGAGATGAAATTACCATCAACTGACAAGGGGAAGACAATATATCTGGTGGAGCAGATGTATTGTGGTAATCTACATATTAATAGAAGATAAGACTTAAAAAAGAACAGAATTTTTTTCATAGATTGCATATTTTCAAAATTGTAAGAGAGCACACCAATACATAGGCTATTTCTTGGAGTTAATTTAGAGATATTTGGATGTTTCATATACTATATACAAAGGCATATAGGGCATTCTTAAATATATCTGAAAAGTAGTGAGCTATAATAGAAAGTGAACTATAATTCTTTTATACGTACATACATAAAACACGTACCTAAGAGCCCTCTATTAAAAAATGAGATTAAAAAACCTTACATTTATGAGACTGATTGTAACTAAGTAAATTCAAAGAGATTAATTTTCTATGGCATAATTTAATATAAGCAAAAATGACTCTTTTTATTCCCTTGGTGTACTGAATTCTCAAATTTGGGTCTAATTAAATAAAAGATATTTAATAATTGAAATAAATTGTGACACATTTATATGGCAAAATCTTTATCTCAAATAATTTGACATTAAATAACTTAAGCTTTTTTATTGAAGTATAGTTGATTTACAATGTTTCAGGTAAAGCAAAGTGATTCAGTTATATATAATTATATATATACTTTTTCAGATTCTTGCCCATTATAGTTCATTAAAAGATATTGAATATAGTTCCCTGTGCTATATATTAGGTCCTTGTTGTTTATCTATTTATATATATAGTATTGTGTATTTGTTAATCCCAAACTCCCAATTTATCCCTCCCCCACTACATTAATTAACTAAAGCCTTAATGTTGGTTTTCTTTTACAGTAATAAAACTTTAGTTTTAACCACTATAATCATATAAGATAGTTGAAAATAGGATGCAAGTTATACATCTGTGAGTTTATTGACTATTTTAATTTTTATACAGTAATCTAATAAGATATTTATATTTGTCAAAGACTTTTTATGATAAACCAAAAGATAAAAACAAATATTGTAATTAAATATATATAATTTAAATACCAATGTTAAATTTCATAAAGTAACCTAAAATCTTTAGATAAAAAACAGCAATTAAAAATTAAAACTTGTGACATTTTTGTGCAATTTTATAATAAAGGCCAAAATTCCCATCATTAAAAGGAACATTTAAAAGCATATCACTTTGAAACTTACCTTTAGTTTCTCCATCATCCCAGAAAAAGTCTCCTTTTGCTTTTTTATCTTCATCTAAAGCAACTATTAGTCCTAGAGGGTTATTTCGGCTGTTAAGTAAGTTTGGGTGCATATATGATTAAAAATAAATGTATAATGAAATATATTATAAATAAATCCATTTCAACATAAGGGACTTGTAGGAGTTCTGCATTCACATGAGAACACTGATATTAATAAAATTCATGTCTATACTTATTAGTAATTTATCAATGAGAAAAATAATTCATATGCTTAGAAAATAAATGACAGGAATAAATACAATATGAAAGGCTTCCCTGGTGGCACAGTGGTTAAGAATCTGCCTGCCAATGCAGGGGACACAGTTTTGAGCCCTGGTCTGGGAAGATCCCACATTCCGGGGAGCAACAAACCCCGTGCACCACAAATACTGAGTCTGCTCTCTAGAGCCTGTGAGCCACAGCTACTGAGCCCACGTGCCACAACTACTGAAGCATGTGTGCATAGAGCCTGTACTCCAAAACAAGAGAAGCCACTGCAATGAGAAGCCCACGCACCACAATGAAGAGTAGCCCCCCCCCACGCTCGCTGCAACTAGAGAAAGCTCATGCACAGCAACGAAGACCCAACACAGCCAAAAATAAATTAATTAAATTAATTTAAAAAAATACAATATGGAATTTCTTGGGAGCCAAGACACCATCAAAATTGAAACAGTATAAAAATATTTCAATTCAAACAACAAAATTAAACATATCTTATGATTGCTCAATTCAACATGTATTTGCCACATACACATTAACCCTAAATTGCAGTGTACCAAGGTTACAAAACAATGAAAAGCACTATAAAATAAAATTTTAAATGCTAAGTGGAATCTCTAATAGTCTTACAAATGAAGCTAATTCTATCATGTGAAATGAAACATGATGAATATTTTTTTAGTTATATATTGCTATAGGTTTTTAAACTTAAAATGAGGCTATACAGTCCAGGTAACTGCTCTATATGGAATACATTCCTTCCAACATTCACTCAACAAAGTGTATGTTTCTCTTGTTCAATACAGCTCTAGAGTATAACCAATTATTTTGAGAACATCATCATGAAACAGTTACAGTATGAAAGTAATCAATTCTAGAAAAAAAAAACTAATTTAGTTACTAACACACATCCATTCACTTATTAATTTGTTCCTTCAACAAATATTTAGAGAAAATCAGGAGCCTATTCCATAATAGGCTGACACTATTATTGGTTTGGGGACTAAAGCAGTGAAAAGTCAAGTCTCTGCCTTCATGGAGTTTATAGTCTGGGGGAGTAGACACAATATATACAAGAAAAAGTAATATAATTCCAGATATTCTTAATGTTATGAAGAAAATACAGCAGAGTAAGGAATAGATATCTATTGGGGTGTTGTAGAATATGGGGTAATGCGTAGATTCAATATGACACATTCTGTCCATGTACCCAAAATTAATGTTGCAAGATAAAGCACCAGAATTTTCAAGTTTCTGCTTTTTTTCTAAATAGTTCTAAAATTTATTCTTACTGAACGACTCAGTTTCTATCTTGTTCTTTACTTAACAAAAATATCTACCTCATTTATTAACTTAAAACGTTTTAGCTGAAAGAAAAACATTGTGACATTTATGTATTGAAAATGCAAATATGTAACAACTGACCCTTTAATCAATTATATAACTTAATACTTCATTTTTATTAAGAATCAGCAATTAACTTTAATTATACGTATTCTTTAAAGAATGTCAGTACATTTTGGCATAGGAAATAAATTTCTAATCTATGCTTATTTTTTAAATCAAGAAGTTTGTAGTAATATACATAATTTGATTCTTCTTTTTATAACCATGATGGTTATATGTAAGAAGTCCTTATATCAAATATCTTCTGGTGAAAAAACTAAATATCAATATTTGATTCTTAATAAAAATGTGAAACATTAAAACGAATTATATTTCAGATTTCAGTTAATGCCTTTTCATTTTACCTTGCTGTTGTAGTTACAGCAGGTTGTTGAATGGGGATAATGTAACCTCCTCTAAGATGTAATCCTATTTTGTCTGCTGGAAGATACATATCAACACGTTGTCCTTTCCATGGCCTTTTTGCACCCTAATATTTGGAAGATAAAAATTTTCTTTTTATTATTGTAAAGAATTTAAACCTCAGTTTACAAGAATTACACATAGAAATAATTCTATTATGAGAAATTCGTGTCATCTTAGTGAATATTAACATGTCATTTTCTAACTTTTAAAGAAAACTCTTTTTCAGTTTACTGATGAAAGCTGGGTAAAAATAAGTTTGGTTTCACAAAAAAAACAACATAGAGAAATCCATTTCCCTTCTACAATAATTAACAATATTCTTAATTAGCACTATTTTTTATTCTTTGTTTTGGTTTAAAGTTAACCATGCCTCTAGAAAGAATTTTTAAAAAATCATTTCTTATAAAAATAAAGGGTCTGGGCTTCCCTGGTGGCGCAGTGGTTGAGGGTCCGCCTGCCTATGCAGGGGACACGGATTCATGCCCCGGTCCGGGAAGATACCACATGCCGCAGAGCAGCTAGGCCCGTGAGCCATGGCCGCTGAGCCTGCGCGTCCGGAGCCTGTGCTCCGCAACGGGAGAGGCTACAACAGTAAGAGGCCCGCGTACCGCAAAAAAATAAAAGTAAAGGGTCTGCTTAGCAAATATAAGTGCATTACAAAATACTTTCCTTTAAAATAAATATTCTCAAAAGGTCTTGGTCAATTAAAAAAAAATAGGTCGTGTGTATGGATCCTGCTACGCTGCCTTTTCAAGATTGAGATGAAAATCTTTCCCAAACATTACAATATACATTATAAAAACAAATGTTTAAGATTAGATTAATACTCAATTCTTCTGGCCATAAGATGAACATGTAAATTAGGGGAATTATTGAAATAAGTTACTACTCCTTAAAATTACTCTTGACCTTTTATTTCCACAATTTAAAATGGATAACTCTACACTAAAGAATATAACTTCATATTAATCACGTACAACAAAACATATACTTTCTCACATGCAACAAAATGTACACCCACACAGACTCTTTCACATTATTAAAATTTGGAATTATTATTTTTTATAATAATAACAACTACTGAAAAAAAGATATGCTGTGTGTTTGGAGTTGTTTCCATGTACAGATGTTGAATAATATGTACTTGTGATCTATTATTATATTAAGGTTACTTACAGTTTCAAAATCATACCAAGTAGCATTAGGGATGTATGCACTCACTGTATCTGCTCCCTAAAATAAACAAGATAATTTGTATATAGATATATATATATTACTTCAATATGTAATGGAAGAGAATCACATCAAATGTTAAGTTGGATTTTCATAGTGAAGCAAAAGAAACTTCCTTTGTATTGTTATACTCCAATATTTTCTATATATAGTAATCAAAAGGCTATTTTACTAGCTTTAGATATTATAATGTAAAATATTCCTAAAGCAAAGATGAAATGAATTTAAGTGGCAACTAAAATAATGGATACATGCATTTGTATTGCTGTAATCTACATGGTAATTGTGAGTGTGAACACATTCATTTCCATATATTTCCATGGCATATAGACTTTTAAATAACAGATAAAACACACATAACTCATTCGATTATTTTTCAACATTTTCATATGATCCACTGGTTTTCAAGTTCACCTTTATTTACAATATAGCAAAATTTCAATGTCTATATCTACTTGAATGAGAATTCCTTGTTATTACTGTAAGATTTGATTTGATGTCATAAATAAAGCTTTCCTTTTCAGAAGAATACTAATTTTATACAACTTTTTTCTCCCCAGTACATATTATATATTTGAACAGCATAAATCTACTTAATATATTTATAATTTTTCACAATTTCTTCTGCATTTTAGAATTCAATTTAACACTTATCAGGTTGAAGCAGTCTATTGAGTAACATTCATTACCCAGATGTTTTGTAATTTAGTGTGGATTTGATTATACAATGTTTCCATTAAAATATAAATTTATTAAAATTGTATCCTACCTGTTTCAAGACAGGGGTAATAAGTAATGAGGGGCCCCATAAGAATTGAGTGTCCTCAATCCAGCTATTAGTATCCTCATAAAACCTAAGAAAAATGACAATATTTACAATACAAAGATAAAAAATAAGTTTATCCAAATTCTTCATTTGGTTTATGTTTTAAGTTTCTCCCTGGGAATAATTATTGTCTTTAATTTTACTTATTTGATATGTCATTTTGAATCTATAGTTATTACATCCTTATGGTTCATCTGACACTCAACAAAAGAAGGTAGAAAGGAAGGGAGAGAGGGGAGAAAAGAGGGAGAGAGGAAATTCATTCATTTGGGACTCAAAAAAATCCATCATATATGATAAGCCTCCTTTTTTATCTGTAATAAACAACTATTCTGTTTAATTCGTTTTTCTCCTGTAAGATAGGTCCATAAAGTACCAGAAATATTTCATATTCTACTTTCCTCCTTTTACACTTTTTTCTTTATAAACTCCCATTTTGACTTGGATTTGAAAGAACCTTTAGTCATTTCTTGAGGAAAGTCCCTGCCTTGGTCAAGAAGTACAAAGACAAGCACAATTCATTGTTTTGTAACTATAATATACACCATCTATAATTAGTTGATTTTCACAATATACACATGATTATGTTTTCAGTATTCTATATTTAATATTGCTTATTGATATAATTTCTCAAATTATTCCGCATATATTTTTCCTTTTAAGTTCTATACAATTCTCACATTTCTAGATTAATCTTGTCCAATTCAACAAATTAATTATATTTACTACTATCATTCCACAGTTAATCAACTTATTTACATAAGTGTAAGAAAAAGCATAAATCTACTTGACATCTTGATTTACCTCTATTAATTTTTCATATGTCTGAATATAATTTGAAAGATACTGAAATTCTTGAACATAGTACTCACTCATGAAGAACTGGCCTTGCTACTGTTTCTCCAAACAAATGGGCTTTATAAAATAGAGTATAGAGGAAAGGTAACAAGGTATAGCGAATATTCAAATAGTGCCTTGATGAATTAACCAAAAGAGAATTCGGTCCAAAAAATGCTGGATCCTGATGCTGTGGCATAAATAGAGGAATTGAAATAAGAAAGTTAAAACATGAATGAAAATTAAAATAGAAGCATTAAATGTATTTTTGAAAACCAAAATGTATACATTTTATCTTGTTTGTAAAAAGTTGAGATTACTCCTATTTCATTATCAAAGGATATGAATTTCTAACTTTTATGTTTTCATTTGGAGATATATATATATATATATATATATTAATTAAACTTTATTTTAATGTGGACATTTCCCTTTTAAATATACATACTTAGAGAAGATGGAAACTATTTTAACAAAGTATTCTTCTCTTCTATTATTTGTGGTAGATTGAATTATTGGTCCCAATTTTCATGCTTCCTTGTACCCTCAACTTTTGTTATGTGACTTTGCACCTACCTCTGGCAGTGGATTGTACTTCCCCACCACTTGGGTTTGTGCTCAGATATATGACATACTCTGGCCAATGAAGTCTTACTACATGTGACACCTTCAAGTAAGGGTTGGAAATGTGCTTGCCTGGGGACTTTCTGCCTTGTGCTTTGCCATTGCTATTAGAACAATAAGCCCAAATGGTCTGCTAGCCAAGGGATATAGGGAACAGAGCTGCCTGGCCAGCCTATAGGCTTGCAACTTGAAGGACAGCCTCCTTGCTGAGCCCAAGCTAGATTAGCTGACTCTCTCAGCCGAGGTGTAATGATGTGAGCAAACCTGCTTAGATTTCCTGCTATGCGTAACAAAATTAACTGAGGGAACCAGCTACTGCTTCCCTAGATTCATCATCATATTTACCGCAAAGCCACATTTCCCTTTGGCTTCTCCCAGGAAATCAATGAGCAAGGTGGAACTACTATTCAGGCCCATTCCAGGAGATACAGGGGTGTCCCAGTGGTCAACTTTACCTTGAGGACTCCCTACTGGACTGTAACTTCCTTAGAACTGGGCTATAGTATATAACTCTCCCTATCAAACCTTCTTTGCCTTCATCTTCATCTGGTTCAGACCTGAATTGTGATCTGAAGGCTCTCTCCACTTTCTCCTGCTTCCTCTCCTTTATCCACCACAAGTGCTTCACCAATAAATCTTTAACATGTCTAATTGTCTCTTGGCATCTGCTTTTTGGAGGACAGAAATAAACACAAATTATAATGTAATTCATATCAGGATCTCCCATGAATGCAAATTTCTTAAAGCATCACTTAGGTAGATTAGGAAGTGACGAATATCTAATTTATATCTTTTACTTCTGTACTATCATGCTTCCTTCCAGGCTGAGCTCTGAGTAGTTGTCCCTCTTCTCAAAGAGAATTAAGCCCCAGTGTGTGCACGGTGAATAATTTTTAACCAACACGTACTTAATTGACTTAATGCTTTCACCTAATTTCCTCATTCCCTTTGAGAAATATACCTATGAGAGCTCACTGCATGCTGAATGCTCAGTTCAGATGCATGTTTTAAAAGCATTAGTTTTATTTTTTCCCCACCTGTCATTACAGTTTTACCTATTACAGAAAGACTATGGCCTCAAACTGCTTTGCAAGTATCTTTAATTTCTTGTATATCTTTAATGAAAGAAAAACTGGAAATCCTTAATAGTATATTATATTTTTATGAAAGTTACCTGAATTTATATTGTTAGAATGTAAGAATCCAGACTCAAAAAGCTTTGTCCTTAAAATACTGTGATTTAACACATGTGTATATGCTTTAGGCTTAAATAAATATTTATGCTATGACTATGTCTCATGATTTCCTTATTTGATCATATTTATATTTACAAAATATTTATAGACCTTGAGAAGAGGACTTCCAACTTTTCTTTATGAATTATACTACAAACTTTCAGACCAGATCTTCTATAGATATAAATTTAAGTTTAAAATTATGTTTTATTTTGAAACATGGAGAACAAGAGGCATTTACCTCATATCCATCAGCATTATGGTTTCTGGAAAATGGATAAAAAGCCCCAAGTTGCATCCACCTTCTGCAAAGCTCTTCTGTGGTCTCAGCCACAAATCCACAGATATCTGCTCCAACCTAAATAACATACATATCTATTATTTACAGTGTAAAGATTCTCAGATTTGCCCAGAGCATCACATTTTATGCCTCAGCTGATTAATTTGCACTAACAATCTTTTTGTTTTACTGTCTTCATATACTCTTCTTTGGCCAAGTTTATTTTCCATTTTTGCCACATTACTTGCTACTAATTGAATGTAGAAAGCTAAAATTGTATTATTAAAATGTGTTGCTTCTATTTTTTATTATTTTTTTTGTGTGTGTGGTACGTGGGCCTCTCACTGTTGTGGCCTCTCCCGTTGCAGAGCACAGGCTCCGAATGCGCAGGCTCAGCGGCCATGGCTCATGGACCCAGCCGCTCCACGGCATGCGGGATCTTCCCGGACCGGGGCACTAATCCGTGTCCCCTGCATCGGCAGGTGGACTCTCAACCACTGCGCCACCAGGGAAGCCCAATGTGTTGCTTCTTAATCGAAAACTCACCACCTATGATTTGACTTTTCTTATTTATAATATATTACTGTAGGAGTAAAATAGTATAAAAAAATTTTTCCAGATGTATGTTCATATATAATTGCATTCCTCATCATTCAAGGACCCTCCGGGGGGGGGAGGGGAACTATTATCCTTGACTTACTATCAATATTTACTGTTTACAAGCATTTCTTTATTTTTCTAAATAGTATATATGTATCTATAAACAATATATCACATTGTTTTTCATTGCTTATTAACTTTGTATAGATGGCATGTTGTATGCATTACACTGTATTTCACTTTTTTCTCAGTGTTACTTTTGTGAGATTCAATTATGTTAATATGGCTGTAGTTCTGTATTGTATGGGATCCCATCACTATAAAATATGCTTCTATGAAGTGTCTATATAGATTTCTTTGTGAATATGTAAAATGTAGCCTTATTCTGTAATATATATATATGATTATTTTCCTGATTTATTGGAAATGTACATTGTTTAATCAAAACTGGTTGTTACCATTTATAAGCACAGTCACAGTACATAAAAGCTGCCATTGTTCCATTTTCTTGCCAATTTCTGATATTTTCAGACTTTTAATTTTTATCACCTATATATATTAAATGTATCTTACAAAAGACTTTACTTGCATTTCTCTGATTACTAGGAAAGTTGAGAATTTTTTTCATATTTTTATTGAATCCATATGGATTTCTTGCTCTATAGAATTGCTTGTATATATCCTTTGCTAATTTTTCTACTGTTTTTACCTTCTACAGATTTATAGTAGGTTCTTCAAATTAAATACTAATCATTTGTTGGTTATATGAATTGAAAATATAATTTTCCAGTAGTAGAAACATTTTATTTCTAACTTTTTAAAACAGACTTTTGATGAACAGAAGTTTTCATTTTGTTGTAACCAAATTAATGTATCTTTATTATTTGTGCCTTCTGTGTTCTGCTTATGAAATTCTTCTCTTAACCTAATGTCATAAAGTTACCCACTTATATTTTCTTCTAAGATGTTTAAAGTTTAATTTTCACACATCGATTGGGTATGAGGTGAGACAGAGAGCCATTTTACTTTATTTTTTAAATGGATAATCAATTGTCCATATGAATGGTTGATACTTTCCTCACTGATCTACAGTGATAGTGCTACCATTAAACAAATTTCCATTAATGTATGGGCCCACGTCCTATTTTGCAATATTAGTCTATTTGAATATTCACAGTTAAGTATCATTGTGTTATATTATTATTTTATCTGGTAAGGCAAATACATGTGCTCTTTTCTACTTCTTTAAATTGTATTGTCTTCCATATGAAGTTTAGAATAATCTTTTATATTCTTCAAATTCCCTGTATAGTTTAAATTGGAATATCACTGAATTTGGATAATAGTTTGGGAAGAATGCATATTTCTAGTATATTGAGACTTCTTTTCCATGAAAATGGTATATCTTTAATTTACTAAGTTATTAAAATTTCTCTTAAAATGTCCTACACTTAGTTTGAATATTTACTCCTGGTTATTGTTTATTAATTAGTTGCTATACTGTATAACACCTTACCTTGAAATACATCTTAACATTGCTTACTTTTTTCTTCTTTTTTTGCACAAAACTTGCCATGTATTGGTCTATTTTATTCAAACTTTCAGAGTCACCTTTGTACTTGTTAACTTTTCTCTAGAGACATTGCTTTCATTGCATCCATTTCTTCTCTTATTTTCATTACCTACATCTTTAGGTTTATTCTGTTTTTCTTTTTCCATTTTCTTAATTCATGCTCTTCATTAATTAATATTCAACTCTTCTTTGTTTATAATCTAAACATTTAAGGTCAAAATTTTTCTTCTAAATACCAGTTTAGCTGATATCCCACAGTTCTGATATGAAGTACAATTGTTAGCTTTCAGTTTTAAGGTTTTCCTCTCATTTCCATTCAGTTTATTTTGGTGAATCATTTGATAATGTGTTTTTTTACTTTCCAAATTCAAGATGCTATGTATGTGTGTGTGTGTGTGTGTGTGTGTGTGTGTGTTAGCTTTTTTTTGTTGGTTTGCTTTTGGTTCTCATTTGGTTCAATGAATATGAAATAATAAATGAACAACTATAATTTTCTAAATGTTTTACATTTATTTTGTTATGTAATGACACTCTTTAGTGTTGAATATCAACATTACATAGTTCTTGTTTTTGCTTGATATAGAGACTTACCAAATTTCTTATGTTTAGAATTGCATATGTAAGTTTTCTCTGCTTTAAAAAGTTGAAAACTTTCTGCCATTATTTTTTATCTTTTAAATAGAGGAAAGAGCTTTATTTTTTTAACCTAAACTGACAGTCTAGTATTTTAAATATATCTAGACTTTTGATATTTACTTTTATTACAATCCCAAATTTGGATTTTTCCCTACCATTTTCTCTGGTGCTTTAAATTTATTATATAACCTTTTCTATACTTTGTTTATACTGACATTCGTTTCATGAATTAGTTTGATTTGATTGAATTTTCTTCATCCTGTTTTTCTATTCTAATGGCTTGAGTGTTATAGACATCATCCACAATCTTTTTTTCCTCATAAATTCCCTAGGAATAAAGACTTAAATTTTCTGTCACATACCTTTAATCATTTTACTGAAAATCATTGATGATAATACTACAAAATTAATTGTAATTACAGTATTTATAAATAACATGGTATAACACCACTTACCAAAGGTATTCCAAACAAACCAAACTCCAGCATTCCTGTAATAGACCATTCCATTTGTTCCCAAGAAGCAGTATTGTCTCCTAACCAATGTGCAGCATAGCTTCCAGATCCAGCAAAAGTTGACCGGGAGAGAATAAAGCTTCTTTTATTAGGAAAAACTTTTTGTACAGCTCTAAAACAAAATCAAATTAATAAATAACATTTACTTTAAAATAATATTGATTTTATAAATCTAAAATCTTAATTTCAATGCATGTATTACAGCTCCTAGAGCCAAGCCATAATATTTGCAACTATTTTATCAATATTTTATATTAATTTTGTATTTAGCTATAAATATTTACTTAGTTAAATGCATTCTGATCAAACACAGAGAAAAGAAATCTAGAAAAGATTTAAACTTTGAATAATATTCTTTACCAAATTAAACGTGTTTTTTGTATCCACTCAATATTTGTTTTTGAAATGTATGATTTAAACCCATTGAAATCTCTTTACACTACAAAATATTTTTACAATACAAAATATAGTAATCTGAACTTGAACACAATACACATTTTTGTGGTTCAATGATGTGAATTATACCTTAATATCTGCATTTTCAAATATTATCAAGCAATGTTGAAATAAAACTAATATATTTGACAGGCATTTTATTTTGTTCTTAGAAGTTCATCATCCACCAATATTGGCATTATTCATCTCACCACTATTGGTACCTGAATGTTGTTGACAAACTTTTTCCATAATTGGAAAATAATCAGAAAAAAGATACAAAAGTTTAATTCAGTATCTAAAGTTATCAACTACCATAGTAAAAGTATAATAGTATTCTCAAGTGCTTTATCTATAATATTACTTATATATGAACGATAGTGTTCTTTTTTCTTTCTAGAATTTATTTACTTATACTCCATGACATATAATGCTCTGTTAAGTAAACAAACACTATGAAGATACTGTATAAAATTCTGATATCATGGTATGATCTGGGACCAAATATGGTTTTGAATTAAAACTTGAATACAGTTAATTATGAGAAAATTTTAAATTTATAGACACAGAATCTGTTTTTTATTAACTATAGCATTATAGGTCCTTATACTATGCTTGGAAAAGAATAGGCAATCAATATATGATTGTCCCCTTCCTTTGTTTTGTATCATGCTCCTTTTTTATATACAAGCAACACATTCCATTAGAGAATTAATTTGTGAGATAATACATAGAAACCTATATATTAATCGAAACTCGTCATTTTTTATTTATTTATTTTTAACATTTTTATTGGAGTATAATTGCTTTACAATGGTGTGTTAGTTTCTGCTGTATAACAAAGTGAATCAACTATATGTATACATATATCACCATATCACCTCCCTCTTGCCTCTCACTCATACCCCCCCATCCCACACCTCCAGCTGGTCACAAAGCACCAAGCTGATCTCCCTGTGCTGTGCATCTGCTTCCCACTAGCAATCTATTTTACATTTCGTAGTGTATATATGTCAATGCCACTCTTTCACTTCATCCCAGCTTACCCTTCCCCCTCCCTGTGTCCTCAAGTCCATTCTCTACATCTGTGTCTTTATTCCTGTCCTGCCCTTAGGTTCTTCAGAACGATTTTTTCTTCTTAGATTCCATATATATTTGTTAGAATACGGTATTTGTTTTCCTCTTTCTGACTTACTTCACTCTGTATGACAGACTCTAGGTCTACCTACTTCACTACAAATAACTCAAGTTCATTTCTTTTTAAGGCTGAGTAATATTCCATTGTATATATGTGCCACATCTTCTTTATCCATTCATCTGTCGATGGACACACAGGTTGCTTCCATGACCTGGCTATTGTAAATAGAGCTGCAATGAACATTGTGGTACATGACTCTTTTTGAATTCTCATTTTCTCAGGATATATGCAGAGTAGAGGGATTCCTGGGTCATATGGTAATTCTATTTCTAGTTTTTTAGGGAACCTCCATACTGTTCTCCATAGTGGCTGTATCAATTTACATTCCCACCAACAGTGCAAGAGGGTTCCCTTTTCTCCACACCCTCTCCAGCATTTATTGTTTGTAGATTTTTTGATGATGGATATTCTGACTGGTGTGAGGTGATACCTCATTGTAGTTTTGATTTGCATTTCTCTAATGATTAGTGATGTTGAGCATCCTTTATGTGTTTGTTGGCAATCTGTGTATCTTTTTCGGGAGAGATGTCTATTTAGGTCTTCTGCCCATTTTTGGATTGGGTGGTTTGTTTTCTTAATATTGAGCTTCACGAGCTACTTGTAAATTTTGGAGATTAATCCTTTGTCAGTTGTTTCATTTGCAAATATTTTCTCCCATTCTGAGGGTTGTCTTTTGGTCTTCTTTATGGTTTCCTTTGCTGTGCAAAAGTTTTAAGTTTCATTAGGTCCCACTTGTTTATATTTCCATTTCTCCAGGAGGTGGGTCAAAAAGGATCTCACTATGATTTACGTCACAGAGTCTTCTGCCTATGTTTTCCTCTAAGAGTTTTATAGTGTCTGACCTTACATTTAAGTCTTTAATCTATTTTGAGTTTATTTTTGTATATGGTGTTAGGAAGTATTCTAATTTCATTCTTTTACCTGTAGGTCTCCAGTTTTCCCAGTACCACTTATTGAAGAGGCCGTCTTTTCTCCAACATATATTCTTGCCTCCTTTATAAAAAATAAGGTAACCATATGTGTGTGGGTTTACCTCTGGGCTTTCCATCCTGTTCCATTGACCTATATTTCTGTTTTTGTGCCAGTACCATACTCTCTCCTTTTTTTTTTTTTTTTTTAATTTATTTATTTATTTTTGGCTGTGTTGGGTCTTCGTTTCTGTGCGAGGGCTTTCTCTAGTTGTGTCAAGCGGGGGCCACTCTTCATCGCGGTGCGCGGGCCTCTCACTGTCGTGGCCTCTCTTGTTGCGGAGCACAGGCTCCAGACGCGCAGGCTCAGTAGTTGTGGCTCACGGGCCCAGTTGCTCCGTGGCATGTGGGATCCCCCCAGACCAGGGCTCGAACCCGTATCCCCTGCATTGGCAGGCAAATTCTCAACCACTGCACCATCAGGGAAGCCCCATACTCTCTTGATTACTGTACCTTTGTAATATAGTCTGAAGTCTGGGAGCCTGATTCCTCCAGCTCCCTTTTTCTTTCTCAAGATTTCTTTGGCTCTTCAGGGTCTTTTGTTTTTCCATACAAATTGTGAAATTTTTTGTTGTAGTTCTGTGAAAAATGCCATTAGTAGTTTGATAAGAATTGTAGTGAATCCATAGATTGCCTTGGGTAGTATAGTCATTTTCACAATGTTGATTCTTCCAACCCAAGAACATGGTATGTCTCTCCATTTGTTTGTATAATCTTTAGTATCTTTCATCAGTGTCCTATAGTTTTCTCCATACAGGTCTTTTGTCTCCATAGGTAGGTTTATTCCTAGATATTTAATTCTTTTTTTTGCAGTGGTAAATGGGAGTGTTTCCTTAATTTTTCTTTAAGATTTTTCATCATTAATATATAGGAATGCAAGAGATTTCTGTCCATTAATTTTGTATCCTGATACTTTACTGAATTCATTGATTAGCTGTATTAGTTTTCTGGTAGCATCCTTAGCATTCTCTATGTATAATATCATGTCTTCTGCAAACAGTGACAGCTTTACTTCTTTCCTGATTTGGATTCCTTTTATATATTTTTCTTCTCTGTTTGCTGTAGGTAAAACTGCCAAAACTGTGTTGAATAATAGTGGTGAGAGTGGAAAACCTTGTCTTGTTCCTGATCTTAGAGGAAATGGTTTCAATTTTTCACCACTGAGAATGATGTTGGCTGTGGGTTTGTCATATATGGCCTTTATTATGTTGAGGTAGGTTCCCTCTATGCCTACTTTATGGAGGGTTTTTATCATAAGTGGGGTTTGAATTTTGTCAAAAGTTTTTCTGCATCTATTGAGATGACCATATGGTTTTTCTCCTTCAATTTATCACATTGATTAATTTGCGTATATTGAAGAATCCTTGCTTTCCTGGAATAAACCCCACTTGATCATGGTGTATGATCCTTTAATGTGTTCTTGGATTCTGTTTGCAAGTATTTTTTGAGGATTTTTGCATCTATGTTCATCAGTGATATTGGTCTGTAGTTTTCTTTCTCCATGACATCTTTGTCTACTTTTGGTTTCAGGGTGATGGTGGCTTAATAGAATGAGTTTGGGACTGTTCCTCCCTCTGCTATATTTTGGAAGAGTTTGTGAAGGATAGGTGTTAGCTCTTCTCTATAGTTTTCATGGAATTCACCTGTGAAGCCATCTTGTTCTGGGCTTTTGTTTGTTGGAAGATTTTTAATCACAGTCTCAATTTCAGTGCTTGTGATTGGTCTTTTTATATTTTTTATTTCTTCCTGGTTCAGTCTTCAAAGTTGTGCTTTTCTAAGAATTTGTCCATTTCTTCCAGGTTGTCCAGTTTACTGGCATATAGTTTCTTGTAGTAATCTCTCATGATCCTTCATATTTCTGCAGTGTCAGTGTTACTTCTCCTTTTTCATTTCTAATTCTATTGATTTGAGTTTTTTCCTTTTCTTGATGACTGGCTAATGGTTTATCAATTTTGTTTATCTTCTCAAAGAACCACCTTTTACTTCTATTGATCTTTGTTATCTTTCCTTATTTCTTTTTCATTTATTTCTGATCTAATCTTTATGATTTCTTTCCTTCTTCCAACTTTGCAGGTTTTTTTGTTGTTGTTCTTGTTCTTCTTTCCCTTATTGCTTTAGGTGTAAGGTTAGGTTGTTTATTTGAGATATTTCTTCTTTTTTGAGGTAGATTTCTCTTGCTATAAACTTCCCTGTTAGAACTGCTTTTGCTATATCCCACAGGTTTTGGGTCATCGTGTTTTCATTGTCATGTGTTTCTCAGTATTGTTTGATTTCATCTTTGATTTCTTCAGTGATCTTTTGGATATTTAGTAGCATATTGTTTCACTTCCATGTTTTTTTGTTTTGTTTGTTTTTTTACAGTTTTTGTCATCTAATTGATATCTAATCTTGTAGCACTGTGGTCAGAAAAGATACTTAATATGATTTCAATTTTCTTAAATTGACCAAGGCTTGATCTGTGATCCAGGATATGATCTATCCTGGAAAATGTTTCATGAGCACTTGAGAAGAAAGTGTATTCTGTTGTTTTTTGGATGGAATGTCCTATAAATATCAATTAAGTCCATGTTGTTTAATGTATCATTTAAAGCTTGTGTTTCCTTATTTATTTTCATTTTGGATGATCTGTCCATTGATGAAAATGGAGTTTTAAAATCCCCAATTATAATTGTTTTACTGTCGATTTCCCTTTTTATGGCTGTTAGTATTTGTCTTATGTATTAAGGTACTCCTATGTTGGGGGCATAAATATTTACAATTGTTATATCTTCTACTTGGATTAATCCCTTGACTATTATGTTGTGACCTTCTCTGCCCCTTGTAATAGTCTTTATTTTTTATTTATTTATTTATTTTCCTTGCGGTATGCGGGCCTCTCACTGTTGTGGCCTCTCCCATTGCGGAGCACAGGCTCCGGACACGCAGGCTCACCGGCCATGGCTCATGGGCCCAGCCGCTCCGTGGCATGTGGGATCTTCCCAGACCGGGGCACGAACCCGTGTCCCCTGCATCGGCAGGCGGACTCGCAACCACTGTGCCACCAGGGAAGCCCCTAGTCTTTATTTTTATACCTATTTTGTCTGATATGAGAATTGCTACTCCAGATTTCTTTTGATTTCCTTTTGCATGGTATATCTTTTTCCATCCCCTCACTTTCAGTCTTTATGTGTCTGAACAGTGTCTCTTGTAGAAAGCATATATACAGGTCTTGTTTTTTGTATCCATTCAGCTGATCTATGTCTTTTGGGTGGAACATTTAATCCACTTACTTTTAAGGTAGTTATTTATAGATATGTTGCTATTACCATTTTCTCAATTGTTTTGGTTTTGTTATTGTAAGTATTTACCTTCTCTGTGTTTCCTGCCTAGAGAAGTGCCTTTAGCATTTTTTGTAAAGCTGGTTTAGTGGTACTTAATTCTCTTAAGTTTTGCTTCCCTGTAAAGGTTTTAATTTCTCCGTCAAATCTGAATGAGATCCTTGCTGGGTAGAGTAATCTTGGTTGTAGGTTTTTCCTTTTCATCACTTTAAATATGTCCTGCCACTCACTTCTGGCTTTCATAGTTTCTGTTGAAAGATCAGCTGTTAACCTTATGGGGATTCCTTTGTATGTTATTTGTTGTTTTTCCCTTGCTGCTTTTAGCATTTTTTCTTTTCTATTTAATTTTTGATAGTTTGATTATTATGTGTCTTGACATATCTCTCCTTGGATATATACTGTATGGGTCTCTCTGTGCTTCCTGCACTTAATTGACTATTTCCTTTCCCATATTAGGGAAGTTTTCAACTATAATCTCTTCATATATTATCTCAGTCCCTTTCTTTTTATCTTCTTCTTCTGAGACCCCTATAATTCGAATGTTGGTGTGTTTAATGTTGTCCCAGAGGTCTCTGAGACTGTCTTCAATTATTTTCATTCTTTTTTCTTTATACTGTTCTGAGGTAGTTATTTCTACTATTTTATCTTCCAGGTCACTTATCCGTTCTTCTTCCTCAGTTATTCTGCTCTTCATTCCTTCCAGAGAATTTTTAATTTCATTTATTGTGTTGTTCATCATTGTTTGTTTGCTCTTCTGTTCTTCTAGGTCCTTGTTAAACTTTTTTTCTTTTTTCTCCATTCTATTTCCAGGATTTTGGATCACCTTTACTATCATTATTCTGAATTCTTTTTCAGGTAGACTGCTATTTCCTCTTCATTTGTTTGCTCTGGTGGGTTTTTGCCTTGCTCCTTCATCTGCAGTGTGTTTCTCTGTCTTCTCAATTTGCTTAACTTACTATGGTTGCAGTCTCCTTTTAGCAGGCTGCAGGTTCGTAGTTCCCAATTTTTTTGGTATCTGCTTCCAGTGGCTAAGTTTGGTTCATTGGGTTGTGTATGCTTCCTGCTGGAGGGCACTAGTGCCTGTGTTCTGCTGGGTTAGGCTGGTACTTGTCTTTCTGGTGAGCAGGACCACGTCCAGTTGTGTGTTTTGGGGTGTCTGTGACCTTATTAAGATTTTAGGCAGCCTCTCTGCTAATGGCTGGGGTTGTGTTCCTGTCTTGCTAGTTGTTTGGCATGGGTTGTCCAGCACTGAAACTTGCTGGCCATTGGGTGGAGCTTGGTCTTCATTTTGAGATGGAGATCTCTGTGAGAGCTCTCACCATTTGATATTATGTGGGGCTGGGTGGTCTCTGGTGGTCATGTGTCCTGAGCTCAGCTCTCTCACCTCAGAGGCTCAAGCCTGACACCAGGCTGGAGCACCAAAACCCTGGTCTTCAACTTGCTAAGCCATCCTAGAGATTTTGGACTTGCCAGCCTCCATAACTGTGTGAGCCAAGTTCACACACTGGACTAGCAGGCACTTTGATCTTGGATTTCCCGGTCTCAAGAACTTTTTCTTTTCCTTTGTGCTTAAGCCTAGTTTCACTTGTTCACAGGGGGCTCAATGCTGAGGCCTCACACCTGGCTCTTCAGACCAGAGTTCTTCCTATGAAACAACTGTGTTGACACCTCAGCTTAGGGTCCCATGTGCAGAAGCCTGAAACTCTTGTTTTTTAAAAATAAACACTTGTTTTAGAAGCATCATTCTCTCAGGCCAATTGTGAATTTCATGTTTAGAGCACATATTCAGAGATATCAAACTGAATCAAAATTTGGAAGGAAAATTTCAATTTATGAATTAAAAAAGAATCAGTTTTATTCATATATCATGTAGTTCTTGATAACTAAGTTTCAAATTTGTGAATATTAGTAAAAGAGGTGATGCTTTTAATGTCCTAATTTTTCACCATGAAAATATTATCTTTCGTTCCTTTCCTACTCTTGTTATTATACACTATATGTAAATTACCAAATATGTTTCTAGACAATAAATATTAAAGGGCTTTCTGAGTGAAATTGCACTTACTTCTCTGTGGCTATAGCCATACTGTATCCATAGAGGCTATGAACATCATACTGTTTCCCCCAGTGTTGCACAGCATCCATGCAAATTGTTTTGGAATACAGGATTTTGTCAAGAATATCTTAGAAAAAAATATAAGAAATAATTTCTTAAGGAATATTTGCCATTTTAAACTTTATAATCCTTATGTGATGTGCTATGTAATACCATATTTAGTTAAAAAGTAATGAAAGCAATTTATGCTAAGTTCCAGTTGGGTCTTCACCCTTTACTCTTACTGATTAACAATTACATTTGTACTTACAATTATGAATACCCTGTTTCCTAACTTCAGTAATAAATAAATCCATGGAGAAAGTAGACTTTAACATGCATATAGAAATATATATATATATAATAAATCATATAATTACAGACCCATTTGAAAGCTTTATAATTTATTTAAATATAACCTAATTCCACACATGTAGACCTGTTACACAATAACAAATCATTTAAATCTCTGTTTTTCAGTTTTTATTGGGCTTTAATTTGTAGGCTTATATTGTACTGTGATAATTATTGTCATCTTTCTTCAGATGTCCTTATAATAATCTACTTCCCTCAGAGCACTTCTGTTTCTTTGGTGAAATTTTTTTTACCGATTTTAATGATGAAAACATGCTTTTTGGAATAAGTGAGATGTAACTATTCACATCAGGTACATCTAATAACTGCAGAAACTTAAAGCAAAGTGCTCAAGGAAAAACTTTGATCACCTAAATTATGATTTCAAACAAATTTTGTTTCTTTTCATTAATCATTTAATCATGGGCAGTTCATCAGAGGTAAAGACAAATCAATAATCTACACCAAAATTTAAAAACACGCTCCTTCTCTTAGACATAAATGTTTTGGCCAGAAATAAAACAAAAAAGTAAACAAAATACCACAGTTATTTCAGGGTCTCAAAATTATATCAAAGTTTGTGATTTAGAAATATATGCTACAATTTAGCAGTAAATAAAGATAATTGCTCTCAGTGAATGGTAAGGAGATAGTTAAATGAAATTTACCAGGAGTAAAAGCTGGGTAATTCAGTTTGTTGTCACTGCATCCTTTCTTTGAACCATGAATAAAGCTGGAAACTTCATTCATGTCCTGAATGGATATAAGATAAAGAACAGACGATTTTAAGTAATTCTAAATCATATAAGCAGAAACTCTCTACCTGTTTGTAAATATTTTATCTTAGAAGACATATATAAGCTACCAACCTACAAACAAACTTGCTTAACTGTTCTCACTACTTGATTCCAAAATACTTCCAGCATGAACAAGTCATTATAGTGAGAAAAATAATATTATTTGTTTTTTCATAAATGTATATACCAGATAACAAAGGGTATCTTAGGTGAGATTAAAGGATTTTATACAACCAAAATGTATGTGATTTACCTAGTTTTAATTATACATATAAAGCATTAATTATATCACATTACATTAAAAGTATTAAATAACTGTCTTTTCTAAATAGCTGTAACAGCCTTCTCACTGTGAGCCTATCATTGTACATATTTCCAGCACATTCATTTATTCAACATAGTTTATTAATTTCAGCTGGCATTTATCTAGTTTCTATGATGTGCCTTGCTAGCAGCTAGGCACAACATTTTTTGCCTAGCACACAATTCCTACACTTTCATGAGAGAATGAAAATGAAAAAAGTCAAAGAGCATTTTAGTATTCTAATGAAAATGGTTATGAGCTTATTGAATCCTTGGAAGAGTCTCAGGTAATCCTAGCACTCCTGGGCCACATTATGAGAACAAGTGACCTAAACATCTCTTGGAGTCAGAGTTGTGGGGTATTGCATTTATGGATTTTCTTGCCTTGTAAACTGAGGCCCCCGTATTGTCTTGCTGTTTACTAGTTCTAATCCATAACCAGTTAAGAAAAATCTTTGGACTAAAAAAGATTATTCATATAAAATCATATATTACACTACACATGCTCAAGAAATGTGTATGTCTTTCTCCATCTCTGTTAATGGCACCAAAGAATTTTTGAGCCTTATTTCCCACATCTCTATAATACATTCTCTCTGCTCTGACAAAGGCATCACACTCATTCAAGTCCCTCGTTAATTTTGTTTTCCTCAGAAGTATATTCTCTTTATCACTCTTCCCTTCTCCCATCAAAATGATGCCCAGATGGAATTAATGTGAGAAATGAAGCCTGCTCAAGGGAGAAAAGAATAAATTTCTCATTGTGAAACAGATTTTTGTTTTCTTAATAGCCACAAAGGACAATTACATAGTTATTCTAAAGTACATATTGGGGTTATTTTACTAAAATGACCTGATATATTCAATTTTGTTGTCTTATGTTCAGTAAAATTAATACGAAGAGATACTATAGTTGTACAGCCAATAATTTTAGATGAACCTAAGTATTTTTTCTTCATGAATGTACCAACTGAATTAAATTCAAAAACAGCTTCAACTACTGAAACTCATAAATGGAACTGAGTTGCATTATTTTAAGTTTTTTTTTGTTTTTTTTTTCTTTTTTTGTGGTACGCGGGCCTCTCACTGCTGCGGCCTCTCCCGTTGCGGAGCACAGGCTCCGGACGCGCAGGCCCAGCGGCCATGGCCCACGGGCCCCGCCGCGCCGCGGCATGTGGGATCCTCCCGGACCGGGGCACGAACCCGTGTCCCCTGCATCGGCAGGCGGACTCCCAACCATTGCGCCACCAGGGAAGCCCCTATTTTAAGTTTTAAGAGTCTTTTTCGAAACCATTTTATTACCTCTTTTATATAATATTCACCAAGGAAGTGCAAGGGCAAAACATTTAACTCTAAAATTAATGTTATTTTATTTGAACTAAGTATTTGCAAACTTGAAATAAAATTCACAAGCTCTTATAGCACTCATTCAAAATAGACTTTATTTTATGTAATTTAAGAATAAATAAAAGAATTTAATAAATGTAATATAATAAAATAACAAAAAATTTAATCACTTTTACATGATTTTAACCATATTTGAAATAAATAAAGCATTTAATATTTGATTATCTTTTATTAAAATGTCTATTTGACAAGATTATATTATTAATAGGTTAAACTTACTAGTCATAATTTAACAGAATTTATTTGTACCTCTTTTAATGTATTTTTGCTTCTTTCAAAACTCTGAAAATATTTTTCTCTAACCTATTCAAGGATTTAAGTGATGTTATGTTTATTTAATGTCATGTGAAAGTGAATTTGATTAGTATTGTCAATATTACAGCCAGTAGATTCAAGCATTGTAAGTCATGAGACAAAGGACTCAGTGGATTGATAGTAATAAGTACTCCTACAGTATCATTAAAATCATCTCAAGTCTAGTAATGACCATTTCTAGGAATTGTCAATACCATTTTTAGGGATATTTCTTTAAAATCTATTGAAAACTGTATAAAAATCTGGTGGCATTTCATAGCTTCACTTTTAAACTAAATCTAAATAAAAATAACACTATTTTCAAAGAAATTTTTAAATAACTGATTTTTTTCTAAGAATCCTATAAAATGTATAGATAATATATCCAATTAAGCCCCCAGTTATTTGGATATATGAATGTGTTTGGATATATCTTCTCAATGAATTTTAAGTTTCCCAAAACTATATGTTAAATTATTCGACTTCTTTATGGAAGAATTCTGCTTGTTAGATTTTAAAGAATAAGATCATAGTAACAACATGATCACAAAAATATGCTTATTTTTTCAGAAAGATGAAAATATTCTTTGAATTTTAAAAATACTAATGTTTTTATTTTGAAATTACAGCATTAGTCTTAATTATACCAAATACAGTAGGCTCTTATTTTTCAAATATTAGGAGATTATCTTAAGAATGATACAAAAAAAGAGAATTCAACCATAATGTGTTTATAAGCAAAAATCTATTTTTCAATTACAATTAAGCTCATATCATTTCTCAAAATTATTGTAATACTTAAAATTTAAAAGCATTAGCATTGAATCTAAATTAAAAATCTAGAAAATTATAAAACTAAAAATTTGACATGAAAATAAAATTTCATCAGTTAAATAACGCTGCTTTACTATATATTCATTCTGTCAGAGAAAATAATCTGAAAAAAGAAAAAGAATTTGAGAAACAACCTAGCAGGTAGGGTTTGGCAATTATTCAGGTAAGAGCTAGAAGCAGAATATTCACTGCTTATATATAGCATATATTAATTCAGTGATATTTAGTGAGCTTTGAAATCATACTGGTTATCATAAGCATTAGTCAAAATGCTTCTGTATTAGTATCATAACTACTCTGTTTTTCTCAGATGCTCCTCTTCTTCCCATCCCTCCCTCTCTTTGGAGATGAATCGTGTATTTCAGTCTTCAATGGATGTAGGAAATGAAGTATATTCTCTCTATATAGCACAATCAGATTCTTTTTCACTATCCCTAAATGTCATTTATACTTGTAACTCTGATCCAATGGATTCCTATACAAGAAAAAGTAAGAAATGAAAGAAAAATAAAGGAAAGAAGGAAAAAACGTACTTTTAATTTAAATTAAATAATATAATTGAAATTGGAGCTAGACTTAAAAATGCAAGAGCAGATTGCAAATTTTTTTTTGTTATTTCTACCAGCAGCTAGGTATCATCACTGCAATCTCACTGATTTTGTGTCAAATAACAAAGCCTCTCCATCTTCATTCTATTACCTTCATAGGAATTCTGACTGTTATGCTAACCTTCTACTCAACTCCACGTTTTCATGATGATGCAAAATAAACACTTGTAATTGATTGAATAAATAAATAAATAATTTAAATAATGACTGAATTAATAATGAGAACTTTAGGAAAGTAGAGATACTGTGATCTAAACAATCAAAAAATTTAACTATTCCCAGATATCCATTATTTCTCCTTCCAAAATTCCGTACAGTTGTAATACCTTTGAAAAACATCCCTCATGTTCTCTCTGTGCTCAAGATTACATATTTTTTTCTGAAATATAGAATTCTGGGATCACCAAGTAGTTTCATTCCCCAAATATTGTTACAGTTTCCTTAACAAAAGACACTAAATCATTGACTATCATCAGTATTATTCTACATTATAAACTTTTTTTTTTTTTTTGCGGTACGGACGCGCAGGCTCAGCGGCCATGGCTCAAGGGCCTAGCCGCTCCCGTGTCCCTTGCATCAGCAGGCGGACTCTCAACCACTGTGCCACCAGGGAAGCCCTAAGTTATAAACCTACCAGGAGGCATCAATAGCTACAGATATAAAACTTCATCCAAAGAAACTTTTAAAAATTAGTGTTTTGGGCTTCCCTGGTGGCGCAGTGGTTGAGAGTCCGCCTGCCTATGCAAGGGACACGGGTTCGTGTCCCTGTCTGGGAAGATCCCACATGTCGCGGAGCGGCTGGGCCCAGGAGCCGTGGCCGCTGAGTCTGTGCGTCTGGAGCCTGTGCTCCAGAACGGGAGAGGCCACAACAGTGAGAGGCCCGTGTACTGCAAAAAAAAAAAA